TTCTTTTTAGTGTTTATATTATTGACTTGTAAGATATGGATTTGGTTTTTTTCGTATGTTGGTTTTTGTGTATTGTTATTTTTTGATATTTTTTGTGTTGTTGTTGTGTGGAAAATACTAATAAAAAGTAATTTTTTAATTTAAAAAAAACTTCTTCATGCAGCCCAGAACTATGGAACTCGCTCCCGCAGGAGTCAATTATAGCCACCATCGCGGAGGGTTTAAAAAGAGGATTACATACCCTCCAACATTTCTCCGATGAAAATAGAGACATCCTATTCAACAACAACAATAACAAATTTTATTTTTATTTTATTTATACCCCGCCAATCTGAATGGGTTGCCCAGCCAATTTGGGTGGCTTCCAACATTTAAAAACATAATAAAACATTAAACATTTTAAAACTTCCCTATATAAGGCTGCCTTCATATGTCCTCTAAAGGTTGTATAGTTTACTTATCTCCTTGACTCTGGGGTCGCATAACTCCGTAACCCCCAACATTTCTCTGATGAAAATAGGGATGTCCTAGGCCTAGACAAAAAAGGGACGCAGGTGGCGCTGTGGGTTAAACCACAGAGCCTAGGACTTGCCGATCAGAAGGTCGGTGGTTCGAATCCCCACAATGGGGTGAGCTCCTGTTGCTCGGTCCCTGCTCCTGCCAACCTAGCAGTTCAAAAGCTCATCAAAGTGCAAGTAGATAAATAGGTACCGCTCCGGCGGTAAGGTAAATGGTGTTTCCGTGCGCTGCTCTGGTTCGCCAGAAGCGGCTTAGTCATGCTGGCCACATGACTCGGAAGCTGTACGCTGGCTCCCTCGGCCAATAAAGCAAGATGAGCGCCGCAACCCTAGAGTCGGCCATGACTGGACCTAATGGTCAGGGGTCCTTTAGGCCTAGACAAAACCACAAAGGACAAGGCTATGAATGACAACTAGCCATGATGGCTGTGCTCTTGTCTTCACTGTCAGAGGCAGCAATGCTTCTGAATACCACTTGCTGGGAGTCACAAGTGAGGAGAGTGCTCTTACACCCAGGTCCTGCTTATAGGATTCCCATAATAATATTATTATAGTAATTCATTATTTATACCCCGCCCATCTGGCTGGGTTTCCCCAGCCACTCTGGGCAGCTTCCAGCAAAATATTAAAAATACAATAAAACAACAGAAATTAAAAACTTTCCTAAAGAGGGCTGTCTTCAGATGTCTTCTAAAAGTCAGATAGTTGTTTCTTTCCTTGACATCTGATGGGTGGGCGCCACCACCGAGAAGACCCTCTGCCTGGTTCCCTGTAAGTTCACTTCTGGCAGTGAGGGAACTGCCAGAAAACCCTCGGAGCTGGACCTCAGTGTCCGGGCTGAATGATAAGGGTGGAGACGTTCCTTCAGGTGTACAGGGCCGTTGAGAACTTTAAAGGTCAGCATGAACACTCTGAATTGTGCTTGGAAATGCAGTGGGAGCCATAAACTGGAACAATGTGCCTCAGTTAAAACTATAATAAACACAAGTCGCAAGGTGGCTGTGGCAGTTGGTTAGGGGACAGGGAGTGGATTTATTTATTTATTTTGAATAATCTTTATGGCATTTTTTAAAATTTACAAGATGAAAATAAATCAATCCATACACCCACTTGTACAAAAAATAAAACGATACATAAAAGAAAGTATGAAAATAAACAAATCAACAAGAAAAGAAAAATATATTTATCGAATACACAAAATTAATTAAGGAGCACAAACCATAATTTGGATATTCTATACACAAAATTCCTAAAAAGACATTACCTTCACATTCCATATTTTCTATTTTCCTTTACCATTACACTCTTTCTGTTCCACTAAACTGGTTTGAGTCCCATATATGTTAGTTGACTTCCCTCTTATCTCTTGGCGGTTTCCATATTTCTCTTACACTTAGGTAATCTGTGTTCAATTATTCAATATAAAAATTCCCTTATGTCTGTGAAGTTAGTGTAAGCACAACCAAGTGTTGTTATTGGAACCATATTTTGTCAGATTCTTTCAGGAGCCAGAGCCTATGTGTTTCCAGGGCTGTTTGAAGATTGACAAATACACAATAAAATATTTTTGCATAAGCATTTGTGTGTGTGCACAAATTTGCAATATGTGTGTGTGTAACACGTTATCTGCTTGAAACTTAAGTGCAGGATGAAATCTACCTGAACCTGTTTACTTAAAATGTTTCGGTTTCTGCCTTCCATAATATAATATAATATATATGGAGAGGGTAACAACGTTCAGATTTTTGGGCATTGAATTACAAGAGGATCTGTCCTGGAGTGTCAACACAAGGGGGCTTGTGAAGAAGGCGCAGCAGAGACTGTACTTTTTGAGAATTCTAAGGAAAAACCATCTTCCGCAGAAACTGCTGCTTGCCTTCTATCACTGTGCCATTGAGAGCGTGCTCACCTATGGCTTATGTGTGTGGTATGGAAGCTGTACTACCCGGGACAGGTTGGGGTTGTGCAGAGTTGTTAAGGCAGCAGAGAGCATTGTTGGCTGCCCACTCTCCACCTTAGAGCAGATTTATGCCACAAGGTGCCATAGGAAGGCACTGGACATAGTAAAAGATCCATCGCATCCTGGTCACTGTCTCTTCGAGCTCCTGCCGTCGGGACGGAGATACAGGACGATGAAGACAAGAACAAGCCGTCTTAAGAACAGCTTCTTCTCCAGAGCGATCTCGGCCCTGAATGGGAAGCCTGGACTTTGAAAGTCATCTAATCTTCCTTGCTGTTTTATACTGTATTGTTTTAATTAGTGTTTTTATAGTTGATTTGATTTTGTGTGGAGTGCCCTACCTGGGTGGATGGAGCAGCCAAGTAATCTCGTTGTCCCCGAGAGGGGGCAATGACAATAAAGATATTATTATTATTATTATTATTATTATTATTATTATTATTATTATATATAATATAATATATATTCTCCTTAATAAAGTATAATATATTCCTTAATAATATATTTAGCTACAATTTAGTCAAGAGAGGAACTTTCCCTCAAGGAATGATGGGAGATGCTAAGAGGATCAGAGCTACAATTCGCAAAATGGTTTCAATAGCTCTTCCCAGGGCATTCTGGGAATTGCAGCTCTGGGAGGAGGCAGGGGGGTCTCCTAACAATTCTTAACACTCTTAACAAACTACATTTCCCAGAATTCCTTGGGGGAAGCCAGGACTGTTCATAGTGGTCTCTCCTTTCTTTGGCGATCACTCATAGCCAAGTATGATTGTCTTCCATGGACATGGTCTTAATGGTGTGTCCATAAATGACCACGGAGGACAATTCTGGATCCACACATCCTTCCACGGTGGGGAAATAGATTTCCGGACGGGAGTTGATCACTTCTCATTTGTTGTTGTTGTTGTTTAGTCGTTTAGTCGTGTCCGACTCTTCATGACCCCATGGACCAGAGCACGCCAGGCACTCCTGTCTTCCATTGCCTCCCGCAGTTTGGTCAAACTCATGCCGGTAGCTTCGAGAACACTGTCCATCCATTCTTGTCCTCTGTCGTCCTCTTCTCCTTGTGCCCTCCATCTTTCCCAACATCAGGGTCTTTTCCAGGGAGTCTTCTCTTCTCATGAGGTGGCCAAAGTACTGGAGCCTCAGCTTCAGGATCTGTCCTTCCAGTGAGCACTCAGGGCTGATTTCCTTCAGAATAGATAGGTTTGATCTTCTTGCAGACCATGGGACTCTCAAGAGTCTCCTCCAGCACCATAATTCAAAAGCATCAATTATTCGGCAATCACCCTTCTTTATGGTCCAGCTCTCACTTCCATACATCACTACTGGGAAAACCATGGCTTGAACTATACGGACCTTTGTTGGCAAGGTGATGTCTCTGCTTTTTAAGATGCTATCTAGGTTTGTCATTGCTTTTCTCCCAAGAAGCAGGCATCTTTTAATTTCGTGACTGCTGTCACCATCTGCAGTGATCCTGGAGCCCAAGAAAGTAAAATCTCTCACTGCCTCCATTTCTTCCCCTTCTATTTGCCAGGAGGTGATGGGACCAGTGGCCATGATCTTCGTTTTTTTGATAGCGTGATTAAATGCATGCTGTGAATTGGGTGACCTTGGGGAAGTCTTCCAGCCTAGCCTACCTCGCAGGGTTCTTGTGAAGATAACAGGGAGACGGCCTCATTGGGCCGTCTTGAGATCTTTAAAGAAAAAGTGGGATATAAATGTGACAATGAACGAAGGGACAAACGCAACCGAGAGGGAAACCGGTGGCCCTCTGGTTGTTGCTGGACTCCAATTCCCATCAGCCCTCAACCAGCGTGTTCAGTGGTCAGGGGTGATGGGAGTCGTAGTCCAGCAAGTATCTGCCTTAACACTGCCAATTGAAAGCTTTTTTAAACTCTGTGTTTGGGGCCATTCCACACACAAGACTAGCAATATAAACACCTTTATTCATTATAATGTGACTGTTTGGCAATTTTGGAAAGAGCCACTCCTGCCAACCTGACTCATTCCAGCGTGGCTTGAGGCCTAGTGCAGGCCAGAAGCCCAAAGACTACTTCTTTCCCCTTTTCTTGGCTTATTATTTATTTTATTTTAATTCATTTTCAATGCCAAATTTGAGGAGGGCAACAAAGGCGAGGGTGGCCAATAGGGGCCAAAATGCCCTGAGGGAAGAGGACGGAAGCCAATCAGGCCTCCTTCCTCCTCCCCCGCCCCCCGCACCTTTATTTTTTTGCCCGCCGACACATCCATCCATGAGGCGGCCGGTTACCCGGATGTGGCGGCTAAAAAGGGGACCCATTAAAAAGGCGCCCCGCGGGGAACTCCGCCGCCGCTCGTTGGCCTCACGCGACGCCACTCACCCGTCCGGCGGAGCCAATGGGCGCCGCCGGGCGGGAAACCCCGCACCCGCCTCGCCGGACCATTGGCCCGAGAGCTCGTCGCTCAAACCGCGCCACCCAATGGGCGTCGTAGCTGGCCGTTGGGAGGCGGGCCGTGCCCGGCGGGGCCCGCTGCCCAATCAGGAGCATTGTTTGTAGTGGGTGCCGGCTCCGGCGGCGGCTGCTGGTGGTGGTGTCGGTGGCGCCGCGTCTGCTGTCCGCCGCCAGCCCACCCCTTCCCCTCCCGGCTCCCCGCGCCGCCCTCCGCTCGGCCTGAGGGGCCTCGAACTCCACACGCGAACACCCCGTCAGGTGAGGGGGGAGAATGAAGGGGGCGGGGCTGAGGCGGTGATTGACAGGGGCAGTGCCCTATGGGGGGGTCCCCCAGCGGGGGGGGCTTCAAATGAGGGGGGGGTTGTGGACCAGAGTTTTTTTGGGGGGGTCAGTTCGGATATTAGGGTTGAGGGGTTTTGTCTCCCGCCCTGGGTTGTGAGTGGCCACCCCCGTGGCCTTTGGGCTTGTGGGGGGGTGTGGGGGTGCAATGAGAAAGAGCTTCAGTTTTGGAGGGGGGGAGGGGAGGGGTGCCATCTTGAATTTTGCAGCTTAAGGGTGGGTGTCTGCGTGGCGTGATATTGGGGGCGCCACCCACGTGACTGGTGGGGAGGCTGCCCTTTTCAAGGGGTGCCTGTAGGGCCTTCCTTGGATTTTAGGGTTCAGAAGAAAGCAGTCTGGGTTTTCTGGGCGCGGGTGTGTGTGTGTGTGTCGCCTATTGCCAAGCAGGAGCTGCTGCATCATCCCTTTGGGGGCTGGGGTCACTTTATTTGTGTTGGGGGGGATGTCATTTTAAATATTGGGGTTCAGTCTGGGGTGGTCTGTGTGGTTTGGGGGATGCCTTTCAAACGGCCCCTCTGCTGGAATACGAATTGTGTGCTGGTGGGTGTTTAGAGGAGCCATCCTGGATATTGGGGTTCGGAAGAAGGGGTGTCTGTGGAGCTTTCCTGTTGCAGTGAGGTGAGATGCCGTCACAGTGGCTTTGGGGCCAGGAGGTGTGTGAGCCCAATGAGGTGTTTTTTTAAGCCGGTGCTATCGTGGAAATTGGGGGTCTGTCTGGCAAGGTATATGGGGGTGCTGTCCACGTGACTTACGAAGCTGGAGGATGGGTGCGGAGGTGGCCTTCCTTTGATGTGTCTGTTGTCATGTGTCCTGGCTTTTGGGGTTCAGAACAGGGGAGTGTCTGGGGCTCTCCTACTGCAACAGGGAGGGCAAGGTGCCACCCTAACACCCTCAGGGTTGTGGTGGGCGGGGGTGAAGCTTTTTTTTTTTAGGGAGTGCCGTTCTTCATATCGGGGTTCAGGAAGAGATTTACGGACACTCATTTCTTGTAAGGCATTTACATTACGTTAATATCTTGTGAATATTAAGCTAGGTAGTGAATAGGTCCTAAAAGATTTGGGGAGGCGCTCCTTTTGGGGGCAGTTGTTAGGAGCTGCCCTGAATATTGAAGTCTGGAAAGTGGGGGGGGTGTCTGTGGGGCACAGCTGATGCAAGCCATGGAGGTACTGTACCTTTCTAGTGACAGGGGTATGCATGGGTCACAGGAAGGGGGTGAGTCTCCTTCCCCTGCCATCCTGAATATTGGGAGTTCCAAAGCGAAAGAAAGGTGGTGGGGTGGATTATGAAGGCTCGTCTGGTGTGGGGTGAATATGATGCTGTGGATCCAGTTGAGGGTTCTGTCTTGAATATTGGGGCTCAGTAGTGGGTTATGCCATTCTAGTGGATATCCATCCGGGGTTTTATGTGGGTTCGATGGAGGGCCAGGATCTCATTTCACAGAAGCCTGTCATCCTCAGTCATTGATACAGAAGGAGATGCCTGTGGGGATTTATCTATTCTGAAATGTGGGGGTGCTGCTATGAGAGGGGCTTTGGCTGTGCGAGTCAAATGTGCAGTGGAGCTGTCCCTTTTATTTTTGCGGGGGTGCTTGGGAGATGGGGGCATTTGGTTGAGAGTGGTGCTCTTTTTTCTGGGATGGGAGTAAGTTTTCAACAATAAAGTTACAGAGGACAACCTTAACGAAGGAAGCCTGAAGTGGGGGGTATTTTAGCCTGAATTTTGGGGGTGGACAGCAGAAACTGGGGGTGGTGATGGAGAATCTTTGGAAAATCTTTTTTGGACTGAATGGAAGAAATGGCAGAGATTAAATACTGATGGGGAGAAAAAGCTGTAAAGGGTTCTTAGGGAAGGCGAGTCTTCAGGGGAGTTTTTCTGTGGCGTTACTTGAGGATGGGGGAGAGAAAATGATAAGCCTGGCCTAGCAGAAAGGCCCTGAAGGGTATCTCCTGCTAAGGGGTGACAGCACTGGCAGGGACAGAAGATAAAATGGGGGGGGGACCAGGCCTTAACTGCTAGTTTTCCTGATGGGAGCGGATTGAGGTTTTCGGGTGTCGCTGGCTGAGTATTAAATTGGCATGTCTCGGATCGGTAGACAATGCAAGGATTGCAAGGAGCTTGTTTTAATGATGAATTAAACGTGGCACCGAGTCAAAAGGGCGGCAGTGTCTGTGTGTGGAGTTGGGGTACCTGCTTTATAAATTGCAGCCATCCTCTCAGGAGAAGATGTGGGGCTTGTCTGTTGCTCCTTTCCACCTTTGGGGTAGGATGCTTGAAACCCTGAACCCTGCTTTGGATTTGCTGCTCGGGTGCGGGGGGGGGGCGAGCCGGAGAAAGCAAATCCACTCTCGTGCCCCCCCCTTTCATTTCTTTTTCACCTCCAGGCAGGCAGGGGCACATGGAGAAAGACAAGCCTCTCCCCAAGAGCTTGGGTTGTGTGGTGGGGGGAGTTTGTCATCTGTCTAGTCATCACATAATCCTGGCACAAGGTTTGAAGTGGGGCTGGGGCGGGATCATTAAAAAAAAACAAAAAACCAACAACAACCTAGGGTTGTCCTCCCTCCCAAATATGGACTGTGTGAGTATCTTAGCCCCCCTCTCTCTCTCCCTACCCTGCCACCGGTTTCCTCATAGTTTAAGAATTGGGGGGGGGAGAGCATGGGCACCCCCTTATGCCTTTTCTTCACAGAGCCTAATCTGCTTTCTCCACCCACTTAGCCGCTGCTGGTGCCGCCACTGCCTCCCCTGTGGGTGGTAAGAGCAGGCTACTTGCATCCTTCACATTAAAATAATAATAACGATGATGGGGAGGGGGCGACTTCTCTCTCTCTCTCTCTCTCTCTCACACACGCTGGACGCATCCTTCCTAGCCAGTGGGGCAGAGGTATGCCCTAAGGATGTTTCCTAACTGGAGAGGCACATGCCGGCACTGTCTGAAGAGCCCTGTGGGGACAGCGGGTGATGCGTAGGACTCCTTCTCTCCCCCCCCCCTTTCTCCTCGGAGAGGACATTTTATTTGGGAGTGTGCTGCTTTCTTGTTCTTCTGCCAGAGTGGAGGGTTAATGCTTCGGAAGCTTTGACCGGAGATGGTGGAATCGACTGTGGGGGCGGGGTGGAGGCGGCGGCGTCTGGACGGAGATGCTGCCTTATTGATCGCCTCCACCTGACAGTCATCGCCAGTTTTTTGGGGGGGGACGGACACAATTCCACTTTCTCCCCCATCCCGCCCAGCTGGGCTAAGGGGAAGGTTTTGTCAGCACGGAAAGTGGGTGGGGAAGGGGTCCAGCCCCTCATCTGGGATTGCAGGAGGGAGGGGAGGACGCATGGTCGTAACAAGCAACCACTTAGCGAGGACAATGGTTATTAAGCATCATGCGCAGCTGATTGGAGGAAACCGAGTCTAATTTTTTTGTGCGTTTTGGGGTGGGGTGGGGGCACTGCTTGCAGCTCCGACTTTCTCGGTGTGCCAAGTGGTGGGTGGGAGGGTCCCAGCTTCGATCCTCAAGGCAGATGGGTTTCAAACTGCCTGAGGAAGAAGCCGCTTTGCTGGATATTGGCGCCTTTTTTACTGGAATGCCAGAGCCCCACCCTAGCCCAGGGCCATAGTGAGGGGTGTGTGTGTGTGTGTACACCAAATTACTGTGTTGGGCACATAGGTAGGTTCCTGAGCTGAGAGGTTTTTTGGTTCGGCGCTCCCTGGCCTGGAGCCTTGCGGGACGCCTCCTGATGGAGCCGATGGGAGGAAGGGAAGTTGAACGTTGTCTGTATAAACTGGAAAAACCCATAAAAAAGTTCTATATTAAAAAACAAACGCATACACAGTCTAGGCCATTGTGCAAAGCTCTTTAGTTTGCTGCGGCAACAACCTGGTTTTGGAAGATCTCTGGGCATGGCTGCTGAGCCCTCATTGTCATGCCTTGATGCGGTAGAAATCTTATACCTAGTTCTTCGCTTATGTCGGATTTGCGCCTGCAAGTTCAGAATTCCTTTCCCCACCCCATGTGGGTTGCTTAGGACTGGGCTTTGGAACACCTGATTTGTAGGGCTACTGCCATGAACAGAACAGGATGTAGCCCAGTGTGATACAGGGTACCTGTTTTGCATGCAGAAGGTCCCAGGTTACGTCTCTGAATAGGGCTGTGAAAGATCTGTGTCTAAGGCCCTGATGTGTAGCTAACATAATAGTGTTATTCAGAAGTTGTTGGACTCCCTGGTCCCAGCAGCCTTGGCTGGGATGGCCAGTACTCAGGCTGCTGAGAGCTGCAGTCCAGTAACCATAAGGCATCATGTTGGTTCCCCCTGGTGTAGAAATTGAGTTTAAAAGAGGATTAGACACATTCACTGAGGATGAGCCTATCAATGGCTACCATCCACAATGACTATGTCCCACCTCCCCTCTTTGGCCAGTATACTTTTGAACACCACTTGCTAGAAGCCATAGGAGGGAAGGGTGCTATTGCACTTAGTCCCTGCTTTTTCAGGCTTCTCCTTGGGACATCTGGATCTGTTTGGCCACTGTGGGAACAGGATGCTAGACTTAGATGGGCCTGATCCAATAGGACTCTTCTTAGGTTTTTGATACTGTGCTAGATGGACCGATTCCCTGTGAGGCAACTTCCTGTGTTCCTAATTTATGTGAAAACCTAGATTTTAAAACTAATTCTCTCCCGCATCCGCCACTTCCCGCCAACCAGTCACGACTGGGATTGGTCCGATGCCAGTGGGCTGGGCCCTTACTGATCTTTGTTGGTGATTTCTTGCACACAGTTGGCTGGGTCCAGCTCAGGGGTAGGCAACCTAAGGCCTGTGGGCCGGATGTGGCCCAATCGCCTTCTAAATCCAGAATGCAGACGGTCCAGGAATCAGCGTGTTTTTACATGAGTAGAATGTGTCCTTTTATTTAAAATGCACCTCTGGGTTAT